GAGAATAAGCTCTAGGGTCAAGTGAGCGAATACGGATGGGCAACAGGTGCTCTTTTGGCCTCCTGAGAGGCAAAGTAACCTGGAGGAAGGACTTAACAGGAGCCTTTAAGCCGTGTGGGCAAATGGTAAACAGTGTTATCTGGAAATCTCATCACTTTGATGTAAATGCAATGTCATAATTGATCTATTCAGCTATCTGCTGTCAGCTGCTTGACAGAGATGCATTACAATACTACACATCATCTCAGATTCGTCAACCTTAACTGTGCCACTGCCTGGGAGTGTTATACTTTGGCTCAGTTATTTGAAAAAACTAAAATAGAAGCAGGGGAAGAAGTCAGGACTTGCAATACAGTGTTTCATAACCTATTGTGTTAACAGATTTCTGTTATTAAATGTATAGAAAAAGAAAAAAGAGCTTATATAGTGGTTTTTAAGATTTAGTTTACTTTGTACTGCAGTAATGCTGTGCTTTTGTGAGTTAGGCAGTATTGAACTGTATTGGGCCAGGGTCACCTGGGGAGACGGATGGTGTTTTATAGACTCTCTTACTGTGCAGGTGGATTTCAACCAACAGCTGACATTAGTAATGTGTTAAATGTCAGAATCTTGGCTTTCTGAAGTGGGTGTAGGCCAGGTCCTGGTACACCACCAAATATGGCAGATAGACAACTTCAGTCTTTTTTTTTGCCCAACTGTTGAACTCGATAGACTTATCCAGACTGTATGGTTATCTTGCCCTTGGAAGTTACTCCTCTAAATTAGAGCTGCTGCCCGTTTCAGTGCTGGCCATTTGTCATGAGAATTGGTCTCTTGCTGCACCATTACTCTGTGGACATGATTTATTACCTTTCATGTGTTGGGGAAGCATGTAGTTCATGAGAAGTTACTCACTGGTGTAGGGCTTAATTTTTCAAAAGTTTAGGTACTCTAAAAAAATTTAGTTACCCTTTTGTTTGCTGGAAGGAAAACTAAGAAGTGTTTGTTCATGAGCTGCAGCAACTACCTGTAGATTAAGTAGATTTGCAAGTGTAACTTGAAAAAGTTGACAGCTGATTTCTGAATATGTAAAGGATATTCTTTAGTATTTTTTGCCGGATTAGTGTTTAGCAGATGTAGCCAGATTGTTTTGACCTTATCTGCTATTTGTTTCTTCTCCTTTTGTGAGCTCCTGATGTTTTACCACATTGGGTTTTTCATCTCCTTACAACTTTGTTGCATTGCAACTATTGCAAACTTTGTCCAAAGCCCCCAAGTTCTCTATAAAACTTAGGCTTTGTTTCAGCCTTTTAAAAGGTTATTTTTTTCATTTACCTAAATATTTTCAGCCATCTCCAGTTTTACTATGTGGTTGGAAGCAGTGCAATAATCTAATGAGATGATCTGTTTGAGCAGCTGGTTTTAACCTCTGTGACATTTCTTGTTTGGGACATAAGCCTCTACTGTCACTTTAGTACGTGCTACAGATATTTTTTTTACTATTTTTTTTCTCTTCATCCCATCTTTGTGTGTTTTCCGTTCTTTGGGTCAGAGATAGCCAGGGGAGGATCATAACTGAACTGCCATATCAGAGATTCTTTGTGTTGAATGTGATTTTTTCTCCTGTTTTCTGACATCTCTCTTTCACAACTGGGAGAGTGTGTGTGGGGTTGAAGCCAAAGAGGAATAAACACTCATTTTCCCCTTGAGAACAGAAGTGTGCTTGGCATCGTCAGCTCAAGGTCACTTGCAGTTCTGGTTCTCCAACACTGCTGTTCATTTTCTCTGGTACTCCCAAGATATTTGATAGCTTGGAGATATTTTAAATGTATCCTGGAAGTTCATTTCAGTTCAGCTCTTAATGGAATGAAGGCAGTTGCCTACACATTCCAGATCACAGTGCACATTTTTTGTTACTTGGAAGAAACAAGCAGAAATCCATAGGAAACCAGTTGTCATCAGAAGTTTTATTCAAGTTACATCCAGACTATGATGGAGTCCTGTGGCTCACCAGTTCATTTTGCCAGTGACAAGATGGGGTGACTGAGCACAGCTCTGCAGTCTACAGAGGTCCTGCAAGATTCACTGGTATTTGTTGCTCAAACAACAACTTCAAGTCCTTCAAATGTCATTTGTAATTTTACAACATGTAGTAGTATGTAAGTGCAAAATGTCATTTAAGCAATGGCTCCTCACAAAAAAGGTGAGTTTAATAGGCTACTACATTTGTTGCAAGAACTGTACTTTTTGAGGATGCTTAAGGATGGTTATGCTATGATCTGCAATATGTAGTCAGGCAATTTAGGATTCTTCTCTTTTTTTTTGTTAAGTATTGAAAGGCTTGAGACTGTCAATGGACCTGAATGCTCTCTTCAGGCTGCTCAAGCAAAATGCAAACATTGGGCACTAAATCAATGTTCTGAACTAATATTGCCTTCTATTGTAATTCAAAGCAAAAGGAATGAAATACTTTTGCCAGAATTTGAGCATTTTATCTTCCTGAAGACAAAACAATCAGTTAGATCCATTGGAGCCATTTTTTCTTTTTGTGTGTTTACCAGAAGTTTGAGAGGAGAAGGAAATTAAAAGAAAACAAGAAAAACTGACCATAGTGGCTTTGTGACAGATGTTTAAAACTTCTCACTGTGGGCCAAACGATGTTTCCTTCTTCTTTATCCTTCTTCCTACCCATCATTTTGCAGTTGCTTATGGATGCACAGTACAATGTAAGTAGTGTTGTAAGTTGAACAGCTGTATCTGAGTAGGAGGCAGCTTTAACTGTATTTTCTCTGTACATACCTCAAACAACACTAGCAAGGAATATTTGCTGCATGTAGCAAGAATTCTCCATAGTGCATTATCCTACACATCTCGCAGTGCACTGAGTAGGTACGAGGTGGTAAAATCTGTTCCATGTAGCTGGAACACACGGTGCATGTGGCTGACTCTGGGGGAGGAAGAGGTGGTTTGTGTCCCCTGAATTGCAGTCAAACAAGTTGCTTTTGTAAACTAATATAAATTCAGAGATTTTCTTCTTTATTTTCTTTTTAAGTCCCCATTTTTGTTTTACACAGTGTCTACCATTAGGGTCCATTGTATGTGAGGAGGATTACTAAATAATCAGGGTTATATGAATAATAACACTAGTAAATAACAATGGGGCAGTGTTAGTGCTTTTGGCTCTCAATTTTAAAGTAATTAAGAGATTTCAGAAGACTCCCGTTTGCCCACGAGCACACATGGAGGCCAGTTGTGCTGTTTTATTGTACTTGCATTGTTTCACGGCCGTGCGTGCTGTGCCTGTAATAGCACACTGCTGGTGGCAGCTTCAGTTCTAAGTATGCAACTGCAGATGACTTTCTGTGGCTAGGTTTCCTTGCTTAAATATTTCCTGCAAGTTGTCTGACTTTAAATATAACAATCAAATGACTCTGCCTTTTTCTTCTTGTCCCTAAGAGGACAACATTCAGCTGGTACTCTCGATCTAGTAAAAATGTTGGCTGTTTTGATTATTTGTCATCAAGCACATTTGTAGGCTTGAAAGAATGAATTACCTAAAGACATTTGGCTGGAAACTCTTATTCTTTAAATGCAGTAGTAGAGTTGGGAAGCTTTTATTGCCAATGTCCTATACGTTCGAGATAGAGCTCTATAGTTTACTGCACTGCATGTCCCAGAACCACCAGGTTGGCTGTAATTATTTGGTGGCCCTGGCAGACATAAAATATTTTTTAATTGTAAAGGTAAAAAAATCTTGTCTTACAGAAGTGGTAAGCACGTAACATCTTCTTGAGAGGGTAATTTTAATGCCGCTACTACTCAGCTGTGTGTAGAGGAAGGATTTTAATTTCTAGAACATCCTATCTCATACAGCAAATTCACTTTAAAAGTTTCAGTATCCCAAGGCCTGGGGCTTTGATGTGGCTCTGTTGTTCTGTCACTCCTGCAGCAGCAGGGTTTCCCCACAGCTTTCTCCCTCCTGCTCCATGTACATACAGCGGTGAGAAGGGACCTGGGAGAACTGGACACGGTCACTGATGCAGTGGCATGGCTGGCATGGGACAGGCTGTGTTATCTCTTGGTGCTGCAGTTCATCCTCTGTGGAAGATACCGACTTGTTCTGTGTGTCCTCTAAGGACACGTTCATTAATGTTCCCAAATGTTCAGAACTGTGGCAGTGGGGTCTGTGCAAGTATAAATTGACTCCTGTTTTATTCTCTAATGATTGACTGATTTTTGTAGTAGGCACGCTGTGGTTCAGAAATAAAAGCAAATCACTAACCAATCCTTTAAATAAAATTTATGATTTAATAGTTTTGTTGCTAATAATTGGACTAATTCTGCTGTGCCTTCATGAAGATTTTTTTTAAATGCAGTTCACTTTCATTGTCTGGAAGAAAGATTTCATTTTAGAAGTTTCAGTTGACAAAGATGTGCTGGTGCTAGATACTTATTTCAGATCCTTGTCATTGTACTCTATTTTTAAATTCAAGTGCCAGCCAACCTAAAGAGCACACCCTGGGTCTATGCTGGGTGCTCTGCATCCGTACTACAACGCTGAATTCTTCCAAGCCTTAGCACAAGGCCACCAAATTTGCTTTTATATTTTCCTGATTTAATGAAGAGAAATGCTCTGGCAAGTTCTTTTCATTATCACAGAACTGAAACTGGTCATAAAAACAATCTTCCTCTCTCCAGAGGTCTGCTCAGGCATTGGCAAGATGCTTGCCTATCAACAGCCACTCGAGAAAGAATTTTAAATGGTTTTGTGACGTCAAGGAGGCCCAAGAAAATAGAGTCTGGTGCCAAATTACCTCCATCATTGAAAGTACGCAGTAAGAAATAGATAACACAGAAATAAATCTTTTGTGCAGTAGCTATCTCATGATACGCTCTAGCAACTCCATTAAGTGAGGTTGTCTGGCGTAGCTGAGGAAGATGAACTTTCAGACCCTCATTTTCTAATTTATGATTAATGAAAAGCCAGCCTAATCCATCTGACATCCTGCTGTCTGGACAGAATGTCTGCGGGTAGCTTGGACTGTGCAGAGGGAAATGCCCTGACCAAGTTACAGCCTACTAAAGTGAACAATTTAAGTATGATGGACAAAAAACTGAATGTCTTGAATGAAAAGATGGACAAACTGTTGCATTTTCAAGAAGATCTGACAGACAAACTGCAGCGAGTTAACAAAGGCATTGATGATGTAGAAAAAGGCATTACCAAGCTGACGGTATCTCGAGCAGCTCCTGATGGGACAGATGCGATGCAAAAAGGCCTAAAGCTATCGGACAGTGCTCACCAGACTGATATCCAGAGCATATGCTCAGAAGTGCTGAAATTGGTGAAAGCTGCCCAGCTGGATGCCTCTAAGCATAAGGAGAGGCTGGCAAAGATAGAGAAAAGGGTTGATACACTGGATAAAGTTATTACATTTGTGGGAGAAGTATTAAAAAATTCTAAAGTAGTGGATTTTATTCTCAAAGGCATTGTGCCCTGGAAGAAGGGGAGTCTGCTGGAAATCCTTGCTGAGGTTGGTTTTCTTTTACAATTCTTCTTCATCTTTTCCTTTACGATGTAGCAGGGCTTTAGGCCCTCCTGCTGATTTCTTGCATAGGAATGATTCAGGGTTTCTTTTCAGTGCTGCTGTTACAGGTGGCTGCTGTGACCTTTCCAAGACTCTTAAGGCAGAGACCAAGGCTCAAAACATGCCTTGGAGTCTGATGTCTAAGGTTCCCAAAGTGTGCCAGGCAGTCCCGTAACAAGTATGAGGAATAGATTACTACTGTAAAGGGAAATTCAGCTTCTACCAGTGCTCAGTGATCAGCAATGTCATTAAAATTAGTGACTGAATTGAGGCCCCAGTGAAAAGTATAAGTAACATGCTGGAAGCTTGTTGTTGTTGGAAGAAGCTTCTATTTTCTTGATGGATCATGAATTTTGAACACAATGCCAGTTACTAAAACCTGCGCTGACTTATGGTCATATTACCAAGCAGATTGGTATGTCCTTAGACATCTAAGTTGCCTTTAGCTACAGCTTTACGAACAACCTGTGACCTTATCAACTTCAACATTGTTCAAGCCTCAAATAAAATAGTTCTGGTGTTTCCAAGTTTCTAGACATCAATTCCTATGCATTTCTTAATTACTGAGGACAGTGAGAGAGGAACAGGCAGGACTGGTATGTAACTGATATTGTGCTTTGGAACCAATTAACCCTGTTTTTAAAAGTTACAGGCAGTTGAAATGAGTTTTAGCAAATGGGACTTTTCAGTTTTCACTATGGCTTGTATCCTGCACTGGGGAAGAGGTGAGGGGAAAACTGCAACAGTTGGAATAGGTTTGTTCATTCCATAAATCTCCTTGTTTGTAGAGGTGTGATTACAGCAAGGAGAATTTAACAGAAATGCAGATGTCCTTTTGCATCTTAATCCAAATGTTTTTCACCAAAACTGTAAAATGTTTTGGTGGAAGGTACACCTAAACTTTTACAAGAGCAGGGCAATGCTAGAAGTTAGTGTACCTTTTCAGGCTTTCTGAGTGCTCTCCTGGTCTCCTTTATTAAGTGCCAAAAGCTGACAAGTGAGCTAGACTGTGAGGAGACAGAAGAATTTATAAAGAGTTTCCATTAGCGTTGAGAACAATAAATCATACATTAGGTATCAGTCTTAATTCTGGATAGAGATGAAGCTTGTACTTGCTTGGAGTTCCAATTTCAGTTCTGGAGACTTTTGGAGAAATGGAGAAGTTTGACATGTTTTGGTTAGAGCTGCAGCGTTACAAGTCACTGCCTGCAGTCATTGCAAAGTGATACAGTCCTCTGTGGGATTTACACCTTGAAGTAACAGTGCACAGTATGCAAATGGCCAGGTGAAGATGAGTGGAAAGATGACCAGCTGATTTAAATTCCGGATTGTCCGTTTCTAAGTGAAAAGAGAAGTAGGGAGGGATGTAATTGAAGGGAGGTGATGCAAGGGATACCAGAGGAATGTTTCACACCGACTTCCAGCATACTGTCAGGATTAGTTCTCAACTGGCCACTATGCACTGCCTCCTCATCGGGGTTTGCAAAAGAGGAGCTTCCTCTGAGTTTTATGGATCTATCTAGATGGGTAAAGACTGAGGTGTGAAATGTCCTGCTGCTGGGGACCCAATGGACCAAGATGGGGCAAATTCTCTGTCCCAGGCTCTAACCACTGCCTTGGCTGTAGAGCAGACAATGTGTATTGGGCAAGCAGAGAGTTTTATGGCTAAGTCCAGTTTTGCAGTGCGATCATCATTGTTTTCCTTTTTTGTTTCTAGTCATGAACAGTTTTTGAAATTGGAGTGTGAGGTCAGTTGTAAGACCTTAAGACATGTCTATACTTTGATCACAGGCTGCTGAGTGATATTTGAACTAGGCTTGAATTAGTGAAGTAGCGTGCGTACGTGACCTAGCTGAGGCAACATGGAGCAAAACATGAGTGAATTTAATACCAAATTGGCTTGTGCTGAGCCATGTGTTAACCTTGGTCTGGTTTTTGCAGCCTGTCTTGTGATAACAGTATAGACAATTCCAAAGAGCTACACAAAAATAATTTGCTACCTCTTATTTCTGCTTTCCAACCTTTGGTGTTTTGTAACAGCGCGCTGCTTATCACGGAGCTGGCCTAGTGCAAGGTTACTCGGTGAGGGGGCGGGAGTGGGGGGTCATGTTTTTGTTTGAGTGAAGCTGTTTGATGGTGAGACAGCATTCCAGGGATGCCATGGGAGTGCTTATGGAAGAGGTTTCGCAGGGTTGGAGTGAAAATAATAAAAGACCATGAATTGAGATTCATAGGATCCAAACCTCTAACTTCTTATTTAAAAAAGACGGAAACACCAGCCAGCATTAAACTGTCACTTATCCAAGGCTTTCTTTGCACATAGGATTTTGCAAGAATAATGTTCCCCTTGGTCATTGTTGCAGGTTTGCTTAGAGCTGTAGTAAAAATGGTAATGACTTCTTACTACTCTTAACTCTTTGTGTTTTATTTTCTGGGGAGGGGGTGCCTCCATTGTGGAATCTGTATGGTTGTAGCATGAAATCCTTAACTGCTTTTACTAACAGGTGAAGGGGCTGATTCACAGCCAACCTGTAATCAGAGTTATCTGCAGAAATATTTTAAATGTTGCTTATTTGCTTGTACAAATAAGGATAGGAGGCTGCTTGATACTGGATTTTAGCTCTATCAACCAAGAAATTTGTTATGCCTTTTCCTATTTTTGTCATGCTTTTTGCTAAATATTAGTAATTCAGTTTTAATTTGATTTCAAATGTATTGCTGTGTGAAGTGTTTAGTGGTGCTATTACAAAATACTCCTCCTCTGTGCATTCTTAGTTGGAGGAAGAAATTTGCTTAAAAATCTGCTTCTAAAAGACAGTAAGTCTGTTTTTAACCATGCCAAAGGTGACATGCGTAGTGTCCAGTATATACATATGAGTTACCATAAAGCTCGAGGCTTTTTTTTGTTATCACCTCTATCATAGCTCAAATCATGAATTCTTACATGCCTTGAGACAAATATGTTTACAATATCTTCACAGACACTGCGTATCTTTCAGTCACCAGCCAGAAAACCAACAGAAATACACTGTCACTTCTTTTTCTGATCACTCTCTTATATTTCACATGCCATGGTTTTTAATCAATATGAATAAAGATGACAGGAGGCAAAAATCGGACAGTCAGAATTTTGGAAAGCAGTGGGCTAATGTATTATCCTGTGCCATCTTGGTTTAGAAGTATGCCTGTGGGGAGAGATTGGAAGCAGGGAGTGAACACAGCAGTAACTAAAAATTCAGAAGATTTAGAGGTGTTTGTGTCCATTTTACCGAGTCTGAATACCTGCATAGTTGGAGGAACCTAGTGGGAAATAAACACTCTTGGCCATAACTGATATTTTTGTGTTCCCTTGTCATTTTTAGGCCAAAGATAAGCCTGAGGAGAGTGGTGCGAAACCTAAGCATGTGTTTAGTAACAGAGGAACCCAAACTGAAAGCAAGAAGGCTCTGGAAGGTATGTATCACTCCAGGCATGTTGCAAGCCTTGACCCCAGAGTGTGCAGCAGACAAACTGGAAATTAATAGCCTGCCATTTCCCACTACCTGAATTACTCAAATGTAACTGAGTAGCTCAGCCCACCAGTACTGGGAAAATAAAGTTGTTCTCACCTCCTCTGCAAGATGATCTGTCCCCGGGTCAAACCCCACAAAACACTAGAAGATCAAGAAATTAAAAGCAGCACCTTTGGCTCCACAGTTCTTTTTCTTTGCAATTACAGTGCACTGAATTAAGAGAGCAGTACTTGCTTGGAGATACCACGAAGGGTAGTGCCAATACCAGAGAGGAAACTTAATAAATTCTTTTCCCTTAACACATCTGAACTGGCCCTCCCTCCCCCGCCTCTCTGAAAAAGGAACATGTTGACATCAGGAATATAGTTTTTTTGATCAGCAAGTTTCATTGCCATGTCAGGACTAGATTCCTATTTAGGATGCATCTGTCAGAGCATTGCCCTGTTGCATCCATTATTAATGCCTGTGGAGTTGCAACAGAGGTGAAGGTGATGCTGAGCAGGCCCTGTCACGCTGTTGTTTTCACAAATTGTCAGTGAATCCTTTAAGTTATGGGCGATCATGGTTTTAGCTTTGTTGTTTAGGAAGTGACAAAAATATAAAGCAGTCACAATTCTGACTCAAAAGCTACACAGGGTTGTGAACTAACCTCGATTGCCAGGGACCTGTGCATGCTGAATCCTGAAAGCAGTTATCCTAGAAATTTCCACTGTTAATATTCACAACCACTGTCATGAGAAAGTGCAGAAGAACCGTCTTGTCCTTTCATGGAAAATGCAAGAGGCACTGTCCCAAACCCTTGGAGTCTTGCTCCGTGCATCTCCACCCCTCTGATCAGGTAGGGGGTGTATCAGGTTCAGGAGGGGTCTGGATGGGTCTGCAGTGCCTGAAGTACCTGTTACGTTTGCCCACAGAGTGATTTCACATTTTAGATGCACTAAGCTTAAGCATTGAAGTTTTTTTATTTGCTTTATGGAAGTCTGCTGCTTTATGTAACACTGCTGGGAAGCCAGTCAAAGCCATTAAACTTGTGATTAAGCCATGAACTTCAATAATGACTGTATTATGCCTGCTGGTGTAAGGATTTTAAGCCTTTCAGGGGATTTCGTGCTACCTTTTCTATAACTGCATAGATTATTTTGAGTGGTGGATTACTTTATTCCCTCTTTGTTTTGCTGTCACTTGTCAAGGATAGTTTATTAATGGCTTATTTTACTCAGAGACAAAAAGTGGGAAAAAACTGGATGAAGACAAGGGAGCGTGTGAGAAGGGGAATGCTTCTAGTGCTGAAGCCCACAAAGCTGACTCCAAACCCCAAGTTAAAGGGAGGACAGTGCAGCAGCAAGCTGTTGAAGGTGCTGGCAAAACACACAGCTCCAAGAGCTGTCAACAGCTGAAGGACATCAGTGTCAAAGCTTTGAATCAACACAACGGTCTTCCCTTCGTAAATCAAGATCATGCAGGCAACCAAAATGTTCCTGCTAAAGGACATGATACGGAGAGAGCCCCACGCCTAGATGAGTGCCACAGGCAACTTGTTCATCAGAAACCCAGAGAGAATGAAAACAAACCTCCACCGTGCAGTGCGGCATCCTGGGAAGCTGTGCCCACCACATCCCAGGCTATATCTGACACAGGGTGTGAAGTGACACATACCAGGTAACAGCCTTGTTGGTGGCTTTCTGTGTGATCTGAAACCATTTCATGTGTTGGAAGGAAAAAAAGGAAAGCCAGGTCACTAAAGGAGGCAGCTCCGGCTGAGGCATGAGCCAGGGAAAATGGCCGTGCTGGGGCAGGAGTGGTGAGACCTTACAAATGGTGAAGGAAAAACACTCAAAGCAGCAAGGGCCCTGTGTAAATTTTTATGAAGCCAAGGAGTTCGAGGGCTAGATGTGTCAGAGATTTTTTTTAATATAATTGGGGCTTCTGTACGTTAGAGGTAAAAAGGTGACCACCCTCCTATAGCTCAAGTAGTTGGACGTTTACGTACCACTCGCTCTTTCCCAACTCCTCTGTTTTGATAACTGTAGGGGTAAAAGGAATTTGAAGTATTTACTAGTATATGACAAAACCAAACAACTTTTTTTTGCTGTCCTTGGTAGTTTTTGTGGGTTTTTTTTATGCCTTGGTCACCTAAAGATCATGACCAGATTATTAATTTATTAATCTCTGTTAGCCTAATATTCTCCTCATGTAGGTGTTTTGTAATATGTCTTTCATAATACATTTCCTTTAGGATTTAGGATTTGATTTTAATTCCATTTATTTACATTTTTAAAAGCCCACACAACAACAAAAAAACAACAAAAAACCCACACTCAAATAACCCCTGCCAACCAAACTCTAATGGATGGAAATTCTGTGGCAAATTTTAACTGCTGTGCCTTCTCTTTCTGGGCTGGTGGATATAAAGTTGTTTATATACGCGTATGTGTGTATGTATGGGTGACAGACACACACAAACATATATATATGTGTATGTGACTCTGTGTGTGCAATTTCCCCATTCCTTGTGTGTACAAATCAGAACAGATAACTGGAAAGCAGAACGTGGAGCAAACCCCAGGTGAAGCTGCAGCCTTCCTGCACAGCGTACGTACTGCGCTTTTGTGTATGAAGTTACTCGAGGGTGGCAAATGCCTCTCTAAAATGAAGGCAGCTTTTATTGAAGTCTGTAAGCCCACGCAGAAGTGTCAGAAGAACATTGTGTTCCCCTGCTTGGAGAAGTGCCCAAGAGTCCTGCTGAGCTCAGGCCAGTCCAGATAGCAGTGGAAGTGTTTGCTCAGGGCTGTGTTCAGGCACCCTGACAGCTCGCTCCCAGTGCAGCTCAGATTTGTAGCACAACACAAGGGTGTTAAAGGGGCTGAAAATGAGAAAAGTCAGACTCTTGTTATGCAAAAGCAGAAACAATTTCTTTTATAACATCTTTTGTAATAAGGTTGCTCCACTGAAAGAGGCAGTAACTTCTGAGGAAATGAGGTGCGCTCTCTGTTAGACATTGGAAATTTTCTTTACTTGCTGTTGTATAAAAATCTACTTTACAACTTTACAAGTTTCAATTCAGCCTTCCTGAAATCAGGCTGTGTGCTCCTGACAGTTGGAACAGTAACAGTTGACTCAAAAAATGTCACGCAAATGTCTTTGATGAATTTTAGGAACATAAAGAATTAGTTTTAATGCATACTCTTTTTAGGCAACACAAGAGGAAGAAAATGTACTAACTTTTCCAGTAGCTAGAATGCCAAGGAAAACAGTATTAATAGAGTGAGGGAGTTTATGAAAGTTACATTTTTAACAGAAAGCTGTGGAAAGAATGCTATCCCATCAGAAGACAAACACAGATGTTTGTGTGTGCGAGTCAGCCAGCTGGAAGAGGACTGGGATGGATGCAAACCTTTGAATTTGTAGAGCTGTATGAGCATTTAGATAATCAGCCTGTGATTTATGAAGGCAATCACTATCCCCTCTCTGCGCAGATGAGCAGTATTTTGTTAGACCAACTGTAATAATTGTAAAAAGTGGATGAGCTTTCAAATGGTGGGATTAACACTTTGCAGCGTGATGCATTTTGTGTTCAGCAGAAGATAAGCATAGACACAGGTGAGGACACATAAAAAGCATCAGCGTGCTGTTTGGTGCTCTTCCCCTAGCGTTGTGAGTATTTCTTAAGAGGATTGATATGGTTAGATTTCTTTAATATCGTAGAAATCTGTGGTTTCAGAAGTTTATAGATTTTCCTTCCCTCACAAAGTTACAAAAGCAAGGCTAGTCATTACATGAAATGTCCCTTGTTTGCTCCGCAGGATATCTATCAATGTACATATGACTGAAATGAAAGAAAAGATTGAGATGACCAAGGAAGGAAACTTAAATGATCACAGGGATAAAAGTCCCAAACTAAAACCCCCATCCTCCACACCAGCAGAAGTGGAAGGATCTGAACAACTGCCTGACAAATCAAAACCTAAAACTAAAAACATCAATGCTGAGCCAAATCAAGAGGTGAAAGGGGACAATAAGCAAAATAAACTTGCATCTCAAACAGGGAAGCAACAACCATTGCTGAGCAAGCCCAAACCAGGTGAAAAGGCAGAAGCAAAATCAGAATTAAAATGCAAGCCTGTAACCTCCCAGAACACCTCTGCAAAGGAGCCTACGAAAGATCTGGGAGTAGAAGTGAAAATCCATCGAGCAACAGCAAAAGCAGAAGAAGCCCCAGCAGATACCAGTGCTGAGAGGAGAGCATCTGAGACTGCAGCTTCAGGGGGAAGTGAAAATGGTGCCTGTCAGTGTACGGGAGTGACACCAGAGAAGACCAAGGCACTGGGTGCTAGCAAAGAGCTTCCCACGCAGGATGAAATGATCATTGGTAAGTTGCTCACAAGTACTCTTGGAAACTTTTACACTGAGTTTTTTTCTGCTGCCTGTGTGTGTTACATACAATATACACTATATATATATAATATATACGTTATATGCAACAACAGTTGGATCAGTGCTCAGTAAACCACCTGCATCTTACAATTCAAGAGCAGGTGGTTACCTTTCACTATGTAAATAATAAATGAATTAACACTTGTACAAATTATTTTAGTAGTGATTTTACTTTTAAATTGTGTTTTGGGGGAAAAAGTTCCTTTAAAATAAAACTGGGTGAAGTATATGTGTGATCAGAAGTATTAGTAATTTTGAAAAAAAAAGTACATTTTCTTTAGATTAAGCATTTATTCTTTAAGAGAGAGTATGCAAACCAGCTGTACTCCAGGACTGAAGTATCGTGTGGTGGTCTTTGTTGTGTTATTTGCCATAGATCTCTTCTTGGTTACCATGTGAACAGTTGATTGCATGTTAAATTGCAGCCTAAGATATCTGGAGATTGTGAAACTGCTTTGAATGGGGACACCAAAACTGTGTTTACGGAAGCTTTACCCTAGGAAAACTTGGATATTAAGTGTATCATGGTTAACTGATTTAGCTTCTCAAGAACTGATTAAACTTAAAAGTTGTAATGTTAATGTTTGCAGCTTTCACTTTAATATTATATGCAGAAGTCTTGCTGCTAGGAGAAACTGATTTTACCAGTAACTGTCATCATTTATCAGTGCTGTGTATTTGTGCTGGTCTTTCCAGCTGCCATGTAATGACTAAAAGAAGATCAAGTATAATCTTTTCAAACTTCTAGCTGTTTCCTCAGGTGGCCTCTTCTGTTAATGCATAAACTAAGATGCTGATCTTCTAAAGGTATCTAGTGGGTTTACTATGTTAAAAAATAGAGTTGAGATTCAGGAGGTGGGATCCTAGTCTCAATTTTGGGCTTTTATTCCTCATCTTTAAAAGGGGGCTAACAGTAAAAGTCCCTCACTTGAAGTAACAGAGAGATTTTGGATATTTTCAGCACCTCCCTTCTTATGGCTAGCTGCAGATGCAGTGGCTATTTTACTTGCATGCCACCCTAAAAATAGCGAAGGAATCTCATGCTTAATGTTATCCAGATACTGCAGTGCTTGTCTGAACTCCAGTAGAGGAGAAAATGATGGCGTGGTAGAGGAACACGAAGCAAAGAGAAAAGATGGGAGAGAGGGCAGTGTTTGAGCTTTGAGTATTTGTGTGAGCAGTTTATTGGCATCAATAAGAGATTGGCTTGTCTGGGTGTTTGTGTTGCCCCCCGGTGTTTCTCCCTTAGAGCCCCACAGCCACAGAAGCATGAAGGGCTGTGGCATGGGAGAAGCTGTGTGTGCGCGTTTGTGGTCCTGGCAATGCCTGTCTGAGAAAACTGAGTTCATCCCTTGAGGAGCAGCAATGCTGAAGGTGCACACAGTGTGGTTTTGTGGAGCTGTGGGTACTGGGAGCATGGAAGGCAGTTGAGACTTCTCATTACACTTAGCAAACACAACAAGGTGATGTGCATGTCCTGTGGGTTGAAATCACTGGTGTGAGGGAGTGATGTGTGCAGAAACATCTCACTGACCAGCTTGTCTCCTCTTCAGATGACAGCCCTTCTCCTCCGGCTCCTTTCGAACATCGCATGGTGAGTGTCAAGCAAACAGAGGTGACAACATCCTACTCCGTGTGTCGTCATGAAGTACTGGGGGGGTAAGTGTCCCTGTCCTTAATTCTGTAGTGCTGGTGGTGGCTGAGGCATGGAGAAGTGCAGGTAGCTGGAGAGCTAGAGATGTCTTCAGATGACTCCAAGGTGTGTGTGGGTGAGGCCCATACAAGCCCACTGCAGCGAGAGTGAGCAGGTTCATTCGAGACCTTTTGGGCTATCATAGTTCCTGGGCTCTTTGTATAAACCTTCTGTTGATTTTGGGGTGTGTGGGGAAAAATGTCCCTTAGGTGACTGGTTTCTGCCCCAGTTCCATTTTCAGATGCCTGACTGTGAGCTTGGATGACTGGTTTTTACATTTGCTCTAATAATCCTGGCCACGGCTGGTGTCATGAGAAAAACCTGTAACTTTCAGACAGACAGATTCAGGGCATTCAGCAAAATCAGCAAAGCCCGTTGGGTCAGGCAGCTTCCAAAATCTTCTTCTGTGCTGAACTGCATATTAAAGAAAACAAAAGGAGAAGTTATAATTATTTTGACCTTACATTTAGTTTTCACTCACAGGAAGTCTGCAGCTGCTTCAGCCTTTGTATTCTCCTATCCTTACTTATCTGACAAGAAGGTTTGATTTACAGGTTGAGCCGAGTACAAATACGGCTTAATAAGTATAAGCCTGATGATGCAATAGCGGAGAAGATGGTGTTTAAAAGTCATCCCAAGAGGCATTAATGTATCTGGGCGACACGGGGGAGAATTTACAACATGCAAGAAATGCAGACTGTGGAGTGGCTATGGTTACTGTTCTTATAGTCATTTAAAAAGTTATGAGATCAGGACAGAAATATCCTTGTTAATATACCCACTAAGGCATCACTGAAGGACAGCAAGCGGGTACAGTTACAGAACCAAAAAAGAATATCAGCAGGTCATCATACCGCAGTGAAATGTAGTAATATGAAGGGGGCATAATATTTTAACATAAGCATTGGACAACTGGCTGGAAAGATAAAACTAATCCTTCATAAGCTGCGAGAAAGAGGAGATTCATGCTGCTGGCCACCTGATTCTGTTCATTTTGTACTGGGCTATTTTTAATCAACGATAAGAATAGTTGTATGAAAAGCTGTTGTGGTGAACTCTGTTAAGCCGGTTTCCCATCTTTTGTTTGGTATCAACAGGGGGCGTTTTGGGCAAGTTCACAAGTGCACGGAAATATCAACTGGTCTCAACCTGGCAGCCAAAATCATAAAAGTGAAAGGAGCAAAAGAGCGGGTAATTATGTTGCTGTGAACCCAAGCGAGCACGCTCTGAACCTGGCCCTGTTGCAAGCACCTTAACGCTACTTCCCTGACTCAGCCCATAGAGGCAACTTGTCCTTGAGTAGTATCTAATATGTAAAATCTATCTTAGTAAGTAGCAGCTTGGACTTTATATGACTATTTGTCATCTCCCGTGTTTGTAATTAAACCTTCTGTCCACATGAGACCTGTTGTATAACTGTTACTGGGTTTTACAAAGAATTGTATTTGAATATATTGGAATTATACATTCCTCATTTTTTGCTAATTTGGTTTTTTTCAGGAGGAAGTGAAAAATGAAATTAATGTCATGAACCATATAAATCATGTGAATCTGATCCAGCTTTATGATGCTTTTGAAGCAAAAAATAACATCACTCTGATCATGGAATAGTAAGTTTAAATGATCTCAGGAATTGTCAGTTGTTTGAGTTTTCTCAGGTCACTAAAGGAAATAGGGAATGATAACTCTGAGGTGTGAAGAAGACTTGGGTGGTTTCCCAGCCTAAAAGACAGTTGATTTCACTTTTAGAAGGAAAAAAAAGCATGTTTTAAAGGTAATTTCTTCAGGTTCAAAATTATATATTTGGCAAGATTACAGTTTCAACAAATGTTAAGAAAGGCAGTTGTCTTCAAGAGTATGAACCAAACGACAAGGTTGTTAATGAACAGAACTTCACTATAGTTCATGTTTCATTTAAGTTTAACTTACATGCTCCAACGTTGTCCCTAGCTACCGAATTGCATACAAGCGTGGGTAAATAAAATCTCATATTTGAAACTAAATAAGAATTTTGATCTAGATCAAATATGGAATTCACAAAAGGGAGATTTCATGATGTACACCTGCTGCCTTTTCTGTGTAGTGGCATACTGCTTTACAAAAACATGACCTTTTGTAATGGAATCATGGAATCGCTTGAGTTGGAAAGACCTTTAAGATCGAGCCCAACCGTTGACCAAGCACTGCCAAGTCCAGCACTAAACCACGTGCCTGTGTGCCACTTCTGCACATCTTTTAAGTATCTCCAGGGATGGTGACTCCACCACTTCCCTGGGCAGCCTGTTCCAGTGCTTGACAACCATTCTGGTGAAAAAATTTTCCTAGTATCCAATCTAAACCTAAAAACTGAGTTTCTGCTACGGAACTAATTGTTAACATGAAGGGAAAAAAATACAAAATGACATAGCATATATAAATATAAGACATTAAAAATGTATGTATTGAAATTAATACCTGAAGTGTTTACCTCTAGACTAGTAACATGAGCAAATATTAGATACTTTGGTAATCCCTGTAAGTTTTCCACATCCCCATTGATCACCAGGTCATGTGGATTCGGGTTTGACATATATTCCCTCAAATGTTCGTGACAACTTCCATTTTTGAGTTTAGATTGATGCTTAATTTCACACTCAGAAATAAGTCTCTTGATGTTATTGAGACTACTGATACGCTTTATATTGGATGTGATTATAGGATGGTTTGAGTTGGAAAGGATCTTGCTAATTTAGAGAACCTAAGTTCCCAACTTGCAAATAAATTGAACTAATGATGAAATTTAGGGTTTTTAACATTTTTCTGTGTCAAAATTTTTAGTCTTGATGGTGGTGAATTATTTGACCGGATCACAGATGAAAACTACAGTCTAACCGAGTTGGATGCGATCCTATTTACCAAACAGATTTGTGAAGGAGTCCACTACTTGCACCAGCATTATATTCTTCATTTAGATCTGAAGGTCAGTAGTTCATACTCTCTGCTCTTTAGTGATGCTATGGGTTGGACCACCACAGTGTCTCTAATTACAAGAGTAATTTCTCAATTCATGGACTTACTTCATAAAGGAGTAGACTTAATTCAGCAGCCACATGAATGGAGCTCTAGAGATTCATTACCTTTTTTCAATGTCTGTTTGGTAGTTTGCTTAGAAGAGTGAAATGAACAGGATTATTCTGTGCTTTTGCCTCTCTTAAATCAGAAGCTTTTCATTCTGTGTGGAATTAAGCAATGCCCTTTTGTCATTAATAAAAAACCCCTCTCTGGCTAGAAATGCCTGCAGTCTCCCCTCCATATTCCCCTGTCCCCTTGTAACTGTGTTCAAATACCCATTCAGTCTTCCTCCTCTTGTTTGTACTTTTTTCTACCTGGAACTGAACTGCAGTAAAATGACAATGTTTTCCTAACAGCACCTTAATAACTGATCTTTTTCAACAGAAAAACCAACTGATTTTTTTTCCTGCTTGTTTATACAGCACCTTACACAAATGATGTTAGACCTGGTTGGCCTATAGACAGTTCTACAGTTATAATAAGTTTGGACACCATCATCTGCTCTGTCCCCACCTTGAAAAATATTCTTATTGAAAAAAACAAATCTTTACCTCTGTGGGCAAACCAAAGGATCCATTTGACATGTTTCTTGTGGCTTTTTGTGGAGTTACTTTTATACTTAAGGAGTAAAACCAGTGGGTAAGTCTGACTGACATCAGACTGACACTACTGTTTTACACAGGGGAGCCTTTCCATTTCAAAATCACGTTGTCATCTGTGGTGAAATATAGGAATATTGTTGTACAGGAACAGAAGTTAAACTTCTTTAAGGGAGGTCCAAACCCAAACCTTTCACTAGCTCAGTATGCCAGTCAAATCCTTCTCTCCCATGATAGGAATAGAAGGAAAAGTATTATAAAAATTATTATTAAAATCTGAGATTTTTATACCCTTTTGCTAGATCTGTCTCTCAGTCATACATTTAACTCAAAATACCCTCTTTTCTTCTGTAGCCTGAAAACATCCTATGTGTAAGTCGCACAGGAAACCAGATTAAAATAATTGACTTTGGATTAGCAAGGAGGTAAGAGAGTTCAGTTATGAATTTACATAAAAAAATACAAACCCACAACACTCTGACATATTTTTGGTAGTTCTTGGGCTTTTTTAAATGTATTTTGTTGGCTCTAAAGTAATTCTGCTACGTGCATGAGCTAAGCAGTTTGCTGCTGCAGACATGAGTTTTCTGCTGTGTGCATTAATTATCTAATTACTTTTTCCAAATAACGTTTCTGTTGGGTAAAGCTATACTGCTGTTCTAATTATCGCAAAATTATTCCCCAAGTAGAGCTGTTACTCTAGGGACTCTAGGAAGTCTCTCAGAGACTTCCTTACTGCTGGGTTTTGTTGTGCAGGTTCAAGTTGTGGAAATTATCTGCTAAACTCTTTACATAAATAACGTGATTGAGGGGGGGAAAGAACAAACATGTCTGAGCCATCCCATGTGAAATGGGAAACCCTCAGAGAAACAGGGACTTTTCTCCATTTCTATACTTTGCTCGCATGAGTTTGTTAAAGGAAAGCTGTGGGAGCATGAGTGAATTCCTCAAGAATAAAAAGGAACGACTCCTGTTAGAATAGCAGTAAAACACCAACATTTCTCTGTTTCTTTTCTAAACCCTTTAGAGGCTTTTTGTTAAGCCAAAATCTGGTATGATCATGTATACATGTACCTACATGTGTGTATGTAAATATCTGTCCAAGGACTTTTTTATTTTAGAAGTGTTTTATGAAAACAGAAATGGATACATTGAGATGTTTTTTAATTGGGAAGAATTGTGCTAAAGAGTTTTGAAGACTTTAGTGTTGTCTTAATTGCCCAGTAAGTCCGATATGCTCGCTCTGTCATGCTCACAATGCCTTGGTTTGTACAAATGTGTTCCCCAGCCTGCGCTCAGCAGTGATGTCTCTCTCTTTCTGGTCCAGGTACAAACCTCGTGAGAAACTGAAGGTTAATTTTGGAACTCCGGAGTTCTTGGCTCCTGAAGTGGTGAACTATGACTTTGTTTCCTTCCCAACAGACATGTGGAGTGTAGGCGTCATCACGTATATGTTGTGAGTAACCCCGTGCCATGGCACCAAAGGCTCTGCGGGAGCACGTCAGTGGAGGGTGTCTGCAGAGCCGGGAGTGCAGCACCCCCTGGGAACATCTGGTTGTGACTCCTCCTAATTCACTCTGTTAAAAACCTCAGCCTTTAATGCAAAGGCACCTCACTGTGCATATGAAATTCCTAAACAAATAATCCTTTTGATAAATATTTAAATGTTGTTCTCCCTTACTGCCTCATTTAACGAGGTAAAATGGGTCAGGCCTTTTTTTTACTCTGAAAAGTTGCCCAAAGCATGTCAGAATTTTCATTTTGATTGCATTCTTGAAGACTTGAATTAATTTTCAAATTTGCATTCTGATCATTTTAGTAGCTCGGACTTGGTGTGCACCGAGGAATTGATGTTGGTTGTCAGGCCACAAAAAATGTCATGTCACAAGTAGGGGTAAGACTTTTCTCTGGTATCTGGGTCGCAGCCATGTCTGTCCAAAGTCTGCCTTCTGGTAAGCTGACTTTGCATCCCAGAATCTTTCATAGATGCTTTCTGTGAACTGGATACATTTCTGGTTTAGATTTGTATGTTAGCCAAAACCCAACTGAATGAAGTAATAAATGACTGAAGCAATAAATCCGGGCTTAGAGACTAGTTGAAAAAAGTGTGCCATTGTTCACAATTCAGTTTAATTCAAGCCAGATGTGGATATGGGCCTTGATTTAGGAAAGCTCTTGAGTCCCCCTAGCTTTGCTAGCAGGGAGAGCACTGAAGTCTGTACCTAGATCCCCACTGGATTAATTTCCTTGGGTATCAACGGTGCTCCCCGATGTGGCTGAGTGAACTGCTGCAGAGTAACCCTAACAGTACAGTGCTTTACTGCTCCAAACTGCTGGCTTACCTTGGCAGGGATTAAGAAGTGCAGCCTCCTCATAGCTGAGAGTCTTTCCTCTCCATAATTTATCTACAGTTATAAAGCAGAGGATTTGTAGAAGGAAAAACACAACTTACATATAATAGCTACTCATCTTCCTATTCTTTTTTTTTTAAGACTTAGTGGCCTGTCCCCATTCCTGGGAGAAACTGATGCAGAGACAATGAATTATGTGGTCAATTGCAGCTGGGATTTTGATGCAGAAGCATTTGAACAGCTATCGGAGGAAGCGAAAGACTTTATTTCCAGATTGCTTGTGAAGGAGAAAAGGTACATCTTTGATTGTGAGGACAGAAGCACCTAATATCATTAAGTTCCTCATAGCCAACTGTTTGGATTGCAGCCAACGATGATAACTTACTACGTGACATTTTTGTATGCTGTATCTGTGCTTGCTGGGCTCAGTGATTCAGAAGTCCCTATTTAAAAGGAAAATGTCTATGTGCCTTGACTGAAGAAAGTTGCTTTTCACAGTAGCATCAATACAGGCAGAACAGAGGAAATCTGGAAGAATTTGCTGTGTAGGAATCTGTCTTTAGTATTCCTTCCCTGAGCAAAAGCTGTTTCTGTTGTTACTTTGGATTCTCACAAGCCCTGACACAAATTGCAAAAATGTCTCTTGAATGCCATGGAGGATAAATGGGAGCTGCAGCTGTGCAAATGTGCATTGTTCTCTTCTAAAGTGGTCTACGTGCATTTGGTAGATATTAAGGAGTGTTTGGGACTTAACTCTGCATGTGGCTTCTCAGTCTTGGCTCCACTGAATTAAAATGTGATGGCATGTATGAAACAACAGGAGGGAATGAGGATGATATTGATGTCAGACCATGGCTATCGCGTTGGGTAAAAATTTTTCTCTTGCTGAGTGGTGATACAGAACTAATCAAAACAGGAAACGATGCATACCGTGAAACAGATTGTGTGTTCGAGGGGAATTCAAAGGAGTGCTTAGAATATTAACAACTTCCAGATCATTACCCAAATCAGACAAATCAGTTCTAGTACTAATTACATTTTGAACAATAGTCATATGAAAAGCTAAGAATAAACTGAACTTTAGCATATTGCCAGCAGGAAACAACAAAGGGGCTTTTTCTCAGACTGTGATGATGATTTGCTCTGAGGCTGTAAACTTTGCTTTGGAGTCTTCCGTTTTTCTGTGCAATGGGAATAGGTGGTCCAGAGGGGCACCATGCAAAGTCTGGTTAGAAGATGTGAATGAGAAGACTCTGCAGGAGAAGAGCATTGTCAGTGAGCTGCAGAGACCAGCGATCAGTTGGCCCAGTTGTTCACAAGGTCTATGGACAGCCTTTGCTCTCCTGCAGACCACGCACCCTTGCCGTGCTGGGACAGCAGCTCTGGCCTTGTGCAAGACCTGTACCCACCTCCCCTGACCACTGAAATCAGGTGTGAGCTGGCAGGAGTCTTCTCATCATCTTCTCAGTGTCAGCTCAGACAAAGCTCAGGAGTTAGGCACAGGCTTCTGTTTTGGAAAAAAAGCAAATTAAACTTTTTTTCTCATCGCCTCTCTCTCAAGATTTCCTCTATTACCATATATTTCTCCAGGCTTTTTGGATAGGCACATTTGGGCCCATTGTTGAATGTCAGGATATACCATATGCTTAACTTGATCCAAGTTTAGGGTGAACAGATAATTGTGCTTTTTAAGCATGAGGCAGAGAATAAGCCTGCACTGTCAGGACAGACAGTTAACACCACAAATATTATTTTTCTGTATGCACCAATTCTCTTAGCAAAGTTCTGCATTCACTTAACAAAATGATGCATAAACTGATGAACCTGTACAGCTGCTGCTTCAGAGAAAAAAAAACAAATCACAGCCAAAACCTGAAGAGCAAAGTACAGAATTTAACCACAGCTCAGTCAACCCACTGCAGACCCACCACTTTCCACACCACTCACCCCTTACACTGGGGAGTGCAGGATGCCATTAGGATCCTGTGCACTGGGATCCTGAGCAGCATCTTGGGAAGCATCTCTGTGCACTTGTGTTTGTTCATTTAAGGCCGTTTCTTTACCAATAATATTGAGGAGCACAGGGCACTGAGAAAATGGCAGTGTGGTGTAGCTGGATTTCCCTGACAGATCTCCTCTCCCGCAGCTGCCGGATGAGCGCAACACAGTGTCTGAAGCATGAGTGGTTGAACAATCTGCCTGCCAAAGCCAAGAAGTTCAAGCTTCGCCTGAAGTCCCAGCTGTTGCTGCAGAGTTACATGGCTCACAGAAAATGGAAGGTAAATAGACAAAGCCTGGTAAATCTACTTCCAAAGGGAAAATCAGCTCAACACAGGCAGAGCCATTCCCTCCTTCTTTATATATTGGCTCACTTTTGCCCACAGGCTTCTTTCTTGTTACTATGAATTTGTGAAGTCTATTTTCAGTTGTAAATTAAGGGGTTTTTTCTGCTCCAGAATGATATTGCTTCTAGTCTTAGCAAGTTTGGTTTCAAGTTTTACTTATTCTGATTGCTGTTTAGAAGTTCTAATTTTTTTTTCTTTACAAGTAAAGAGACTTCAGGTGCTTCTTAGCTTATATTAAATGTTCTTTCTCTTCACGTTGGAGAGATTTTTTTTCCATTGACAACAGTTGCACTGTTCTGTTGCCACTATGGAGTAGGGATACAACCTAAGGCAGTTTTGTGCCTCCTGTTGCAGACAGTAGAAGTCTGGGAGAGAGAAAAAATGAGGCTTAAACCCATCCAGAGAACTCTTCAGGACCTTTCTAATAACCCCATGCTTCTTCAGAACTAAATTTTATATGAAGTGCTAGATAAGCATTTCTATTGGAGTCTCTATTGGATTGTAGATAATCAATCCCGAGAGGCTGATTTTGAAAGGTGATCTTGTTACAAATAAGCCTGTGGAAATGTGAGGAGAACTGTGCGGAGCATTTCCTGTTCTTTTGTCACTGGAGAGCTGTAATTTATTGCCAAGGAGTTAAACCAGAGGCTTGCACTCTTTCTACTCCTGCACTCCAGCTGTTTGGTCACAGAGTTCTGCACTTGCATTTTAAAAAGTACTTAATCTTAAGATGTATCACTACACAACTCATAATAATGCTGAAGTTCAGAGTACCCGCAGTCTGTCCTGCACTCATCAGTGGTTCCCCAGTACAAAGCTGTTCTGCACTGCACTCCACACAGGGTGGGGATCACTAGAGGTAAATGGATTTACTAAGAAGAAAAACCAACAGAAAAGGTCCTTTACCTCAGTTGCACTCACACTTGGGCTGTTCTCTTTTATTCACAGAAACATTTTTATGTGGTGGCTGCTGCCAACAGGCTGAAGAGATTTCAGAGTATGTCTGTCAAGCTTGCATGAACTTGTGTGAAGCATCCGCCACTCTTGGAGATGGACATGAAGCCATGGAAGGACTCAGTATCTTCAATAATTTCTATCCCTTTGTTTTATAACATAAATTTTTGGGTCTATCTTCAAATATTATGTGTGTTAGAGCTAAGGTTCCAAAGTGCCTCAAGGCCGAGGCACTGAAATACTTTCTAAAAGCAGAAACGACCTTGTTTGTTTTTATAAGTTTTTCTATACTGTACGTAGTGATGGAAAAACGTGGCTGTTACTGGGGCTGACTTCTTGCTGAAGGCCTTGATTCTGCAGAGTATTGTTGGTGTGTTTACACCAGAAAACGCTTGACAGTTTCCTGGTTTCTCATACCTGGTTTCTCATGGGCTCTCTGAAGACTTTCTTCACAACTGATGTGTCATCAATTTTAGAGCACTGCCACAACAGCAGCACAATTTTTCCCATGGGCGTTTGTTACTTAGAGCAAAAGCTATCAGACATATTTTTATTCTATAATTTTTCCAAAAAGATTAATTTTTTTTCTTCCATACATGATGATGATTCAGTGCAGCTGCTCAGAATTGAATGGTTTTGGTTCATTGTTTTTTAAAATTCTATTCTCTCCTTTAAAAAGTAGTCACTGCGTAGTCAGGAAAGACGAGGAATCCTGGTTTGAAGCAACTTAAGCAGTTGGTCCATTGCTGCTTTTTTCTTACGGTGAGTTGAATTGAGCTGAATTGATTGAACTTTTGGAAGGACGTAGGTGAAACTGCCACAAATACAAATCACCTAACAACTGTGGGTCAATGCAAAAAGATCTCACGTTGTCCAGAAGAGATTTCCAGATGTTGTTTCATATGTATTTAAAATTTCTAAGTGCTACTTATTGGATCCGACTGCAGCCCTTAATTTTGTAAGTTTTAGTTTGAGGATTTTTTTTTTTCTCTCTGACAATTTTAATGAAGTCTGAGCAGCTGATACGATGTGATATGCAAAATAGGTCCTTACTGCTGTTCAGTGGCAGGGAAACGGTGGATTGTCAGACTCTGCCTTTAGCCCAGTTAGGAGATTGAAGCCCTTTCCCTCTCACTTTGCTTTTGAACATTAAATGTTTTCTTCACAATACTAACTTATTTTGGATTGAAAACTTTTTTTGATGTATAAACAGTTGGAGATACTTACAGTCTCTCAGCTAAAAGTACAACATTATTTATTAAACCTGTGGTCACCCTTCATTCTTGTTCTAGATTCTGTGAAACTCGGTGTGAGCTGGATGGGCTTTTAGGAAAAACAGAAACTACTACTACTAAAACTGGCTTTTCAGCAAAGGCATCAAACCAGTGTAAAGTTCCTTTTAACTTTATGGACTTTCACATCTCTCGAATTAGCAAAAGTGTTGTTTGCTAATGAAGAGGTTTGTAAGACTGGTTAGTTATCTGTCCACTCTAGTCTAGTTATCTTTTCCACTCCAGTGCTTCTCACTTTGCGTAGTCCTGAATTCTGGACTTGTGCAGCATTTCCAGAATTGAGACAGAGGAATTATTAAAATCAAGTGAAAGAATCTTGACAATGTATCACCTTCTGTGAAGGCCCACGTTTGTTCGTGTTTTCCTTCCACAGTGGTTCTGCATGCTGAATGTGCTTATGTGCATTGGTCTGTATATTTCTGAATTCATACTAATAAATTCCAGTAGAGTGGAACAGCCTATTCCTTGGTTTTGGTTTAACCTTCCCACCCACTTTCCCCAAACAAACTGGAAAGCATCTGAGTAGGTGTTAACAGATGCTAATGTATAAGGCTGGATTGGATTCTCTCCCATCCTGAGGACCCTCTGCTACATATTAGATCAGACTTTAAATGGCAGACATTTTCTTACAACTCTTACTCAATGTGGGTTAAACAGCCATTATTTTCTCTGCACATCAGGCATTTGTTTAGATTCCATTCCCCAATAGCTACTGTTGTATTTCAGAACTCATCTGGAATGCAATTAGCTCTTGCTAATTAAAGTTGGCTTCAAGTGATTGCCTTTTTTATGCATTGGGAGATGGAGATGTGAATGGAAAATGGAAAGTTTTTATTTTCCCGTTACTGTGTGCTGCTTCCTGTTTTTGTAAGAGGGCAATACACAGATGCTCTGTGCTGTCATGCACATGTTTCCTTACCATTTTCTACAAAGAGAAAGTGCACCTGCCCAGCAGGATTACCATTTCTTTCCTAAGAGAAATCCCTTTAGATTCAGCAGCCATCACATGGTTCTGCAGTTCAGTGAAATCCACCTCTGCAGCCTTATGGGATGGTTCACCTTGTCATGTGTCTTTTGCTTTGGGGTCTTCAAAAAAACCTAAAAGGAACAGTATGACTAAAAGAACGGGCCCCATACACCGATCTCTAAAGCAGATGACGATACCGACTGCCGTAGTCCTGATGCCATCAGCATCACCCAGATGAGCAGGGAGTATGCACAGCAGTGAGGCATTTGGCCACTCAATGCTGTTGAGAAGCTCAGATGGGGGCAGTGTTTCACATCTGAATGCTCAGATGTGAGATAATTTACCTTGTTTCACATGGACACTTGGGGTTTTCTGGGTGGTTCTGAAATGAGGGTTTATGAAAGTTAACTTTTCTTTGCATGTCCCCAGCGGAAAACATGCGAGAAATGGGCAGAAGACTTGGGTTGGTTTTACTGTGGTTGCACCAGCCCTGTACTGCTCAAAGTTGCGATTTTCCTTCAAAAAGTAGTTAACACAAATTGTAGTTTGAGTAGCTGGGAGGGATGTGTAGGACCACAGAAGCTGCCTCTGAGACCTACAGGGGAGGGCACTCTCCTTTTCCTGAAGTTCATCGCTGCGAGATGCAAAAAACCTGTATTACCCAGACAAGATCCTTGTTCCCCATGACAAGTGCCAAGAACCTGATGTCATAATACAAAGCTTTTCCTTCCAATATCTTTATTGTTTCTTGGAATATTTGGAACCTCTTACAAGCACAAGAAACTTCAGTCCCACATAGATCATAAAAATAAGTCCAATGCAGTGACTAAACAACATTTCAACAGTATTAAAAAATTATAAAAAATTATTAGTCATAATTCTTCTGCTGGTTTTGTGGTTTAACAAGGCACTGTTTGTTCCCTCCCTCTTCTTTCACTGACTACTTACAGGCTGGAACTTTAACTTATTTACAGTTAACACAGCATTAGAATGTTACCTGCTTCTTGCAGCAGGAAAAAGGAAGTTATTCTACCACCTGATGCCATTGCTACTCAGGTACCAGCCTAGCAAGTAGTCAGACAGGGCTCTTGTAAAATTGCCTCAACTCACCTACAATTTACTAAAAATAACATTCTTAAATACTTTAAAACTAGCTCATAAATAAAATTAGCTGGCTACCAGGCAGTCATCTGCTACTGCAGCTCTTGCTACTGGAACTCTTGTTAGAGCAGAGGGACAGTTAAAATTATGAGCAAGCAGCAGTGATGTTACTAGGTGGCACTACAGAGACAGTACCCTTACTCGTTTCTTGTGCCTTAGCAGCTTTTTCCAGGATTTTCTTTTTCCATTCCTCATAGTCTTGCTTTGTTTCAGCCTTTGCCCGTTTACTTGGCACCTCCTCATCATCCTCAGCTCCTACGAGAGAAGAAAGGCCATGACAGGCCATCATGAGTAATAACTATGGGAACAATTATGGCAGTGAGCAAATGTAGACACAAGCACAGGGTCTGTCACTGTGTTTTCTCATCCTGTGGTTTGCTGCTCCCCTCACCAGCCAGAACAGTCACCTCTTCCCCTCTGTCTGAATGGAAGAGTTGTCCTTAATTCTACTGGCAATACTCAGTATAAACACCGTATCTTGCCAGGTTCCCTTTGTTCTTTCATTAGCCAGTAGTTTGCAGAACAGAGTAAGCTGCTGTGAACTGAATATTGTGGCATATTATACAATGAAAATACAGGACATGAAGAAATGGAATGAAGCTGTGCCAGGAGAAGTTCAGGTAGGACATTAGGAAAAGGCTCTTCACTGAGAGGGAAGAAGAGGTTCCCCAGGGAAGTTGTCACAGCATGAAGCCTGTCAGTTCAAGGAGTGTCTGGATGACATTTTTAGTCATATGGTTTAGTTTTGGGTAGTCCTGCGAGGAGCGAGTTGGGACTTTATGATCCTTATGGATCCTTTCCAACTTGACAAAATGTATATGATAAAATAGCATTAAGCAGCAGTAACGCTCAGGACTGCTCTGGTGAGGTGATTTTAGTTTACAGCTAACACAGCTTACCATCTTCCCTCTCACAGTGCTTCAGGTCGGTCTGCAAGCTTTCAGGTGTCTCTGCAGCCTGCGGAACATCTTCTTCTAAATAAAAAAAAAAGTTGCTTTACTTCTGAATGGTGTTTGAGGCCCAAAGGGTGGTGTTCTACACGCAATTCATTGACAGCAATGTCACCTTCCAAAAGTATCATCTGTGTCAGAGCAGTTCCCTGGTCCAGCTGATGCTCAAGCTGTACGTGCAGATGTGCCAGCACATTTCGAGGGCTGCACTGACTGGTTGGCTGCTTTAACCAGCACTGCTGCTGCATTTGTAACCACAATGCTCCACCATGTTCATAACCCAAAACCACACTGCTACTCTTCTTAATTACTCAGACAGGATTACCAATTATTTCTGCCCCTTATACCCCATTTCCACGCCTTTTATTATAGATGCCCACAATGTGTGGGAGACTGTCCATGTATACAGATGAATGTGCTTCTCTGAACTGATAAACTCCCAGCTGCCTTTAGCTGCTTTAGTGGTGGGATAAGGTTTTGGGTTTGTTTTTTTTACAGGGCACTGCTCTACTGGAAGGTTCACACCCAGGGGAAGAGCAGCAGATTTTGGGTTGGGCAGCACATTTCAGAAAACTTCAGGATACGAAATGTGAAGGCAGGGTGAAGCCAGGGCTACTGTCATTGGGAGAGTAAGAATGAAAGGATAAAGGAGGTAAGCAGGAAGGAGCAGAGATATAAGGACAGAAACGTGTGCACTGTATTTGAATCTTCCTCCTCCACACAAAGGAGTGGAGAGAGCTGCAGGTTCAACAACAGGCAAGAAAGATTCCTCATGTCTGCCCACTGTCTGTGAAGGGATGGTGTCAGGTAATGGCTGAATTACTACCAGAAAAGCACTTGTTAATCCTGCAGTGGGGGAAAGGAAAACACAGAAGTGAGTCAATCAAAGAGAGAGAGGTAGCAAGATGTTTATGTTAATTTGTGTGTCCTGTTGCCATGTTAACAAGATGCAGAAAGCAAGCAAGGAGAAATCTAAGACAGGCCAGGTAGTATGGGAGAAGGAGGGAATAAATTGCAGCAAGGAGCAGTGAGCGTTTGAGAAGAGAGGAAAATTTTATCTTTTTTGCCTTGCCACGTGCTAAGCTGTTGTGACCTCCCCAGAAGCAATGACTGTGACTGGGAACTGGACTGCAGGAAATGTGTTGGAATGGATGGGCAGGCTTGACTGGAAGGGAACAGCTGAAAGTGATCAGAATGAAATCACCAGTGGAAATGGATGGGGCACTGTGGTGATGGGTATGCTGTCTTACAGGTATAAAGCCAAAAACTTACTGCTGAGTTGCTGACTGATTTTCTCCAGTTGGTTGCACAGACGGTCAAATATTGCCTTTTTCACCCCAGATGTAACCAACATTTTAGTTTTGTCCACTTTTAGCTTTAAACACCTACAAGAGAAAGTTCAATTATCTCTCGACAAAGCAACACTCCAGGAACTATCACTCAGGTGAGGTGACATCTACTGTACCTACACTGCCAGTGAAAATGAAGAAGGTAGGCCTCAGTTTTTGTCCTATCTAATCCTTGTCTCACTCAAACAAATATGCTTAAAAACTAGACCCTTACCCTACTCAGTCAATACAGCTCAGGAATTGAAACTCAGGGTTAGGACAAGTTATGTAAGGAAATTCTATTAGGAAAAAGTACTTTTCAGATTTTGAGGAAATCAGGAAAAAAATCTTACTACTGCAAAAAGCTGAATGGGCCCCCATGTGTCAAGAATTTGTCCAGAGCTCTGCAACTATACAGCACCTGAATTGCTTCATAAGATTGTTACAAGGCATAATACTGAGAGACGAAGATACTTGCACGCAAGCAAAGCCTTACAAAGGGTTGGCTGAGTCAGGTATTCCTGACACCCATCCTCCAAGCTGATGCATGCCCACAGCTATTGGATCCATCTCCTAAAAGTCAGAGCACCCTTAGGATGTGATGGCGTAGGGCTTAGGGCTTTATCTCCCTTCGGAATGGCTGCTTTTCGGTGCTCAAAAGTAAATTAGCAGCCATTCTTGCACCTTGAGACATGCAACTTTTTGTTCTGTGCCCAGCTAAATTCCCACTAAATCTGAAAATGTTACTAAGGGCTGGGTAGGCTGAGAGGAAGGAGGGTGAAATACAAAACACTAACAGGAGTTCTTCAGCCACTGCTATGAATATGTCTTAATGGAATTACCCACAGCATCCAGTTACACACCAGGGAAGACAGATTTCATTTATTTTTGGATAAGTAACTCAAGATCCTTTTCTGTGTATTTGATGTACAGAAGTTTGGTGTCTCACTAGGCATTTAAGCCCGTAAACAATCCCTCAAGCTATACTTACCTGCATGCAGTGAATAGTGCAGCTGTTATAAAAAGTGGCTTTGAGAAATCAAGGTCCATTTGCTGTGCTTCAGAGAGGCTGGATTCATACCTAAAGAACAACAAGAGGAGGCATTATTGTATAGTGCATTTGCCTCAAATGAAGCTGTTGAAATTAATTTGTCACGTGGTACTCGGCAGCTGATCAAGTCTCCTGTTGGATCCCTTGGTCCTTTGCAACCCAGTCAAGCAGAAACAGCTGCTACTGGCTGAGAAGAGCAAGCAAGACAAGGGAGAAATCACCTCCTCTTTTTGAATTAAAGGTATTTTAAATAAGGGATCTGGATCACGGCATGACAGTAAAATCTAACTCTTGTGCTCCCCACCCACACAACAATTTTATCTCTACATTACATCTAAAAGCTACAGTGAGATGCTTTGTGTAAGTCCATTCCATAATAGAGGATAGAATTATAGTTTCTCTGATTCCTCTAATACGTACATTAGATAGATAATGACTTCAATATAGAAAATGACATGACAGATGTGCACCACTAAATAATTCAATTTTTTATTGTCCACCCGTCTCCAGGCTATTTTTTTTTTAGTTTGTATTAAGCACCAATAAGCGTACACAGCCTCTGTTCACTGACCTGCAACTCAGGATACTCTAAACCCCTAACAGCATTTAAACATGTGCGATCAGGGTGACAGCACTCCAGAACAGAACCCTTCAGTGATCGTTCTTGTTAAAGTAGATGTTACAGAGTGCACAATTTTAGTGAAATCTGTTGAATTTCCATTGAAGTGCTCTACCTATTGTTTTTATAGGTAAAGTAATGTGCATTTTAAGAGATCTACTTCTCCAGAAGGGAGGATTTGTTTCTACTGAGCACTACTTCTCAACTGTGACATGATCAGCAGTTAAACAGTGTGATGCTATGGACAAATACAGGGAGTCCTATCTTTTTAAAAGTTAAAGAACAGGAACTCGGACAATGACTTACTGAGATTCACAGGCTAAGTCTTTCTAACACATATCCTAAACAGAGGCCTGGATAAATGGTTGGATTTTCAGTGCTAAGAACTCACCTCACCCCTCCAGTTAGTGGGAGATACCTGGCCCTTCCAACCATCAAACTCTTTACACACCTAATGAACAGAGACTCTTACTAGGGGTTACCAGTGTGATCACAAGAGCTTCCTTACCTCTGTAGTATTTTTGAAGCAGTGTTCACTGCCTCCGTGCAGCAGAATTGCACAGCCAAGTCTCGCATTCCCAGTCTGGGGTTCACCTCTAGCAAACACTCCAAAGATTTCATGGAGCTCTGGTAGGTCATCTTGTTCAAACCGGAGAGTTTAATAAAACAGCTCTTTCAAGAAGACAAAGACAAAGACAAATCCCAAGAATCAGCAAGATTCCTTCCCAACATCTTATTCAGGCTACCCAAGTAGATTAGGAAGAAACTAGACAACACTTTAAATTAAAGTTCAATTGCTATATTAAACAAACTTGTGCAATGAATGATATAGGTTTTGACTGCACACAGAAAGATTAACCACCTAGTGACACCACATATTTTAAAGCAGTGTAATTTGTAGACCATTTCACTGGAAGTCATGTTTGTCTTTTCCATATAATATGGCATGGCTCTTTTATCACAACAGGGATAAAAACAAAGGTAACCAGGATCTGGGGAACCTTAACAGGTGAGCAATACTTTCCTGTTACTCACAAAACTAAATTCTCCTGTCTGTGAATGGACAATCAGGATGCAACTTTATATCAGATATTATTTTGGCAGCCAGTTACCAGGCAGCTCTATAGATGTATGTTTACAGGTACCACTACAGACTATAGAGAGGGATTCCTTAGAGCCACTGCTTCTCTCCCACAGTAAAAAGGGAGATCTTAAATTCAACATCCCTGCTGGTAGTTTATTTGTTACTAAAAGAGCTGAAATTATAGCAAAGCAAGCTCAACTTGTGAAGTGACTGTGCCACTGATCTCAATTTACCCTGTTTCAAACTCTGAGCAGCGAAAGCTCTAACTCCATGTTTAGCAGCACACTGGCTCTATAGTACTGTCAGTTATTCTTATACCCTTCCTCCTCCCAACAAACATCACACAGAACAATGATTTTAGTGGACCTATGGAGAATGCAGCAGCCTGCCAAGCCATGCACTGTATCTTACTTTGTCAACTGGTTGTTTCATGTAACTAGCTGCTAGGTCCAGGCACATCACAGCGCTGCTTGTTGCTGTCATTTGAGCCATGAATCCTGTGCATTTCACCTGGGACAGCCGCAGATACTCTTCAGCTTTTCTGCAAAACACCCAGCATACAACACTCCCGTTAACAAAACCACAGTTAATAGCAGGAAAGATGGCAGGACAGGACCTGATCCAAGGTCTACCTCGCCCAGCACCCGGTCCAGCAGCGGCTGCAGCACATGCTTAGGGAAAGGGGTGTTAACAGGACGGCAGACACGGCATGACACTGCCCTTCTGCTCCTAATTACCAGCAGAAACTTGACATTTCTCGGCCAGAAGCGGCTCCTGCATTAACCACCCATGCCTTACGGCCTGTGACTTTTTTTCACAAGGACCAGAACCAAAGCAGGAAACCGACAGCGGGCTGGCACCGCGGGGCGGTGAGGCCAACCCCGGCTGCCTCTGCGGGGCCGACAGAGCCCCGCGGAGAGACCAGGCC